TTGCTACCGTCTTCACCCGAATACAACGTACGGTCATTATAGCTGTATCTAGACTGAAAGGTGCCTCAAATACAGCTATGATGACCGTACGTTGTATTCGGGGGAAGAAGGTAGTCTGTAGAGCTGATTGCTCGTGGGGTCTTGTGTTTTGAACCACGTTGTCAACTTCCAACTCGCACTTACCTACTGGTTGGAAAATTGACTAGGAGCCCACCATCAAGCCAACGTGGCCCTTACGGCGTAAAAACCCTCCTGGAAGGGTCTTGTGTTTTGAACCACGTTCCAGGAGGGTTTACGCCTTCAGGGCCAAGGAGATCTCTCCATTTCTGAGGGATAGCAGCAATGAGAGCATTCGCTCTCTCCCTTTGAGCTGGCAGTTGTCTTAATTTCCTTTTCAGCTGGTCATCGTCAGCCCAAGAGTTGAGTGAATCCTCGCATAAGTCTCCAATTTTGGAGATTCCTCGTTGAATCCATTGGAAACCAAAATTACTCTTTCCTCTTTTTTTTTTTTTCTTTTTTTTTTTTTTTCGATTTATGCGTGTCATCCTTGCGCAGGGGCCATGCTGGTCTTCTTTCTCTGTATCGTTCCAATTTTAACGGATGTCACGAAGGACTTCTTTCCTCTTTTGATAGCAGCAATGAGAGCATTCGCTCTCTCCCTCTTTTGTTGCCGAGAATGGGATCTCTTGAGTGGGTCTGCAATGGCTTTGTTCTCAAATCGGAGCTGTGATTTGACTTGTTCCTTGCTTGTTGGGGGAGTCTGCTCCCTCGGTCGGCTTCAAAAGTTTTCTTCAAGCCCTGAGGACCTCCTTTCAAAAAACATAAAGTAAAGAATCTAAAAAAAATAAGAATAAAAAAAAAAATCTGGAGTTCAAACGCTTTCCTAGGAAGCCCTTCTGTCTGTCATTGCAGCGACCCACACATCTGGTTGCTCTTTCCTAGCCCCACTCTTTTCTCAAGATCTTTTCTGCTGGCCTACGCATCTGATGCTCTTTCCAATCCCCACCTCTTTTGTCAAGATCGTTTCTGCTACAGGTAGCAGGCACCAGTCTGCATCTTCATCCGCTTCTGCTTCTTTGTGTAACCATTTTTTTTTTTTTTTTTTTTGGGTCTACCTTTTGTTAAAAAAAAAAAAAAAAAAAAAAAACGGCAGTGTGGGTCTACCTGCCCCTCTGCTACATACACCTGTCTAATCGTGAAATCGTACACTACACAAGTAGGAGAAAATAGTCTTCGCAAAATGCTGCGCTACCCATGCGTAACCATTTTTTGCTGAGCAAAATTCTGTTTTGTGTGTGCGGGTCTGTCAGGCCCAGCCCACCTTCGTCTCTTTCCATGCAGACTACGTTCCAAGTGACCTTTGGCAGGCATCCTTCTTCCTGGCCTGCGCCTGCTTTCCACCACAGGAACGTTCTTGCAGCTGCTCTGATTAGGGAGTTCTCGCACCATTGCTAAGTAACACAGCACAGAGAAGGCAGAGCAGTTTAAAGCTAACGCTCTTCCAATTAGGGAGAGGTATCTGGCCGGACCCCACGACTTGATTTGTTTGACTTGATACGTTTGATCACTTTCTCTTGCAGGACAGTGCCTCGGGATGACGAGTAGTCTTCCATAGCTATCAGCACTCCTAGTAAACGCTCTGCTTCTCCAGCATTTATTCTCTTCATCCCCCACTTCGCGTTCAGAGAGAATTCCGCTGGTAGGTAGGTAGAAGACTGACTTGTTCCACTTGATGGCTGGCTGCCGCCGAGTATTCGCCATACATATATCGTGAGGCAGGACTTCAGTGCTGATAGTGAACCCACTTGATTTGTGGAGACTGCGAAAAGATTGTCCGCCAATGCCGCCTTTATCCTGTGTTCTTTTTCCCTTGTCATACCCAGTCCTTCGATTTCAGTGTTGTTTCTAATGCTGTGAATGAGCACCTCGAACTGTAGTTCGAACAGCAGGCGGGCGAGCGGGCAACCCTGTCTCAAGGAGGGGGGGAGAGCGAATTCCTCCGAGCATTTTCCGCCGTTGACCATCGCCGCTGCTGCTGTAGCGTACCCGTATAAGGATTTCACCCAGCGACAGAAGCCTTGGCCAAATCCCATTGCCTTTCAGGGTTGTCATCATGAAGGCCCAATTCACTATGTAATAGGCCTTCTCCAAGCCAAGGAGAAGGACTGCGGTATCTTGATTCTCTTCTTCGATAACCTGAAGGATCTGAATGGCGGAGGCGATGTTTTCGTAGATCGATCTCCCTTTGTTGGATGAAGGCGCCTTGTTCCTTTCCCACCAGCTTGGGTAATATAGGGCCAAGTCTCCGGGCTAAGGTCTTGGCCAGTAATTTGTATACTGTATTTAGGAGTGAGATCGGGCGGGCGCCAGTTCTTCACCTCGGTCCTATGTCCCTTCTTTAAAAAAAATAAGCAGAGTAATTATGCCCCTGGTCATTGCCTTCCCAAGTCTTTTGGCGGTGAGTATTTCGTTGAACAGCGCTATCAGATCTGCTTCTAGAGTCTCCCAGCATGTTTCCAGGAACTCTTTTTTCGGCAACCCGTCGTCACCTGGTGCCTTGCCACCTGCCATCACTTTTAAAGTTTGCCGTCGTTCTTCTCTCGTGACTCGTCTATCCATAGCCACGACTCGTCTATCCATAGCCACTACTCGTCTATCCATAGCCACGACTCGTCTATCCATAGCCACGACTCGTCTATCCATAGCCAATCGTTCGCTGGTGGTTAGGTGTCCCGATAGGCCCTCCCAGAGTATAGGTGGGTCTGCATCGTCAGGTCTGTGTCCATATCTTCGTCCACTCTTCTGGCGGTTAGAATGTCTTCGAAGTAGAGTCTTGAGCGTACTCGCACATCTCTCCCATGTTGCTTGTAACGGGCAGATGGTCATGATGTGGATGTCTCAGTTCAACCATTGGGATCTCCTTACTTCTCGGCAGGAGTCTTTTAAAGGCTTCCTTCGCAAGTCTGTCGGAGGCGATGATCCCTTTCTCCATTAGAGTCTTTTTCCATCTGTTCTCCTTCTTTGCTTGTAGCACTTCCCACTTTTTTATGAATCTTATTGCTCTTTCCTCTGCCCATGCTAATTCCGAGATGGGATGACCGGCGAACCGTTTTTCTGCCTCTACGCGCTTCCTGCATTCGTGTTCTTCTGCGTTCGTGATGAGTGCCGCCATGACTGAGAAGACGTCCAACTTCGTTGACAGAGAATGCGGATTCCAGCATCTATCCATTCTGCCACTGACTCAGAGTCACTTCTTGCTATCTTCCAACTCACCCAGAATTCGAATACCACTGTGTCCATCCTTGGTCCTGAAGATCGCTGGTGTTTTTAACTTGAGTAAGAAAAAAGAGTGGAATCTTCCTTCTATTTTGGAGTTTTTCTTTCTTTTTCTTTTTCTTTTTTCTTTTTTTTGTCAATTGTGAAGAAAAAAAGGAGATTAAAATCATGGCAAAGGAAGAGAAAGGCCGAATGCGGGAAAAGCACGAAAGAGGAAACTTGTTGGTCTCTCTCTCTCTTTTTCTCTCTCTCACATACGCGCGCATGCTGGCGACGAGCTTGTGAACGAAAAAGGAAGATTAAGGGTAAAGGAGGAAAGAAGAAATTCGTTGCACTTTCTCTCTCTCTCTCTCTTGTCGACGAGCTTGATGTTTGGATCTCCTCCGATGTCGAGTGAAGGTAACTGTTTCAAGGATGGGTGATGGGACCCTGTGGCAGGAGGTATCTGTAACAGTATTGAGGACAGGTTCAGAGAGAGAGAGAGAGAGGAGCCACACTAGATTGCCTCTGGAGGAGGAGAGTTCGGTTTGCATGTGTTCTGTGTATGATGCTGATTTCAGTGGATTGCTTGTGTCTGTTCATGGTTTTGGAAATTTGGAGTCTTTGAGGGAGTGGTCCTACCGTCTTCACCCGAATACAATCTACAGTCATTATTGCTGCATCTAGTCTCATTGTTGCCCCAAATACGGCTATAATAACCATACGTGGAATTCAGATGAAGAACGGCTATAATAACCATACCTGGAATTCAGATGAAGAAGGTAGAGTCTAGGTCGTCCATCACCCACTGTTCTACTGTTCTAGGCCATCTTTTTGTCCTTAGCCAAGGTGGGTGATAATTATGCTGACACCCCCTTCTGTTTGTTATGGGGGGTTGTGCTTCCTTTCTTTGGAGGAGTATACGCCTTACGCTTGTCGTTTCAGGACCTGAAGGCAGTCATTGCACCCTTGTGCTTGTTTTGTTCAACAGCGGTGCAGGGATTGTGTTTACTGATCATTTTGATCATTTTTGCTAATAGGAGGTATTGTCATTTTGACCGTAGTAGAATGGATGAAGCCCAACCCGTCTGTTGGAGCTTTGAATCGACCTTAGTGTGTTTCTTCGCCCACTCACCTCCTTTTTGCCACTTTGCGGTGGCCATTTAGGGGGCCTTAGCTGCTGAACCTAGGCTATTTCCGTTTCGAGGATAAAGTTCACCCCGCCAGGGGTGCTCTTTTTTTTTTTTTGGGGGGGGGCCCTGGTGCCGCAAGCCATTTTGGTCCGGTAGCCCTTGAGCCTCCGGAACTTTAGCAGTGAGCCGTGACAAAATCTTGCAACGCTGGGGCTGTGTATTGACGGCGCAACAGAAGTTCATACCCAGAGGATAAAGTTCATTCTAAAGTTCATCCCCTACCATACCTCTAGGTGACTGAAGTTTGTACCCAATATTCGGAGTTACTCTCTCTGTATTCACTTTTGCAGCCCACATCGAAATAGGCCGCCTTTTTTTTTCCCCCCCCCAAATTGTCATCGATATTGCCCATATATAGATTAAAAGAGGCTGGGGAATAGTGCTTACTTGTTTATTCTTGCATGGGCCAGTTAATTGTTGCAGCACAGCTCATTGCGGGGAGAACCAGCTTGCGTGGAGTTCGAGATGGTTGCATGTGTTTTCGTGTGCAGGATGATGACATCTAATCTATGCATATGGTTCCCTGTGCATTACTGTTTGATTGATTTGCAGGATCCACAGCTGCTTCTGCGGCCGAAGGAGAGGGAGTGCAACAAGGGAAAGTAGCAGCCGATGGGAAAATGACGCGTAATGGGAATGAGGCTATCTTAAGTGGGCGATGGTGGCGTTGGTCTTGGTATGAGCTATGGCATAACAGGCACTTGCTGCTGAGGCAATGCCAAGCAACACTCCGGGGACAATCCGGAACTCTGTGGTCAATTGGAGTTGTGGCAGCCATCCTCGGGCTATTGCTTGTTGGAAATCAGTGGTATTGGGAGCGGTGGCAGAATCAGCAGGCGCGCAATCACGCGTCGAAAAAAGACGAGGTACATCATC